TGGAGTTTATCAAGAAAATCGACAAATAGCCCGAGAACGAAAACCAAGAAATTATGTTCAAGTGTAGAAAGTGTGGAGAAATCAAAGCGAACGAACAAGGGGGATTTTGTCGTGATTGTGAACAGGAAACCATGGTAAACAGCCAAGAATGAATAGACAGTAAGTACCCTAATAAAGACCGAGTGGATTGTATTATGACGATAGATATGGATAGTCCAGAAATTATTTCCTTAGTCGGTAATTTAGTTATTAATGATTGACCTAAGTTAGAGGCAATTGATTTTACCATTTGCGGTTGAAGTAATAATATTCCCCGTTTAGAAATAAAAAACTGTCCGCAATTAAAGAGCATTATTGTTTCTTTTTTTCATATTCAAGATTTAGTCCTTGAAAATTGTCCTTTAGTTACTAGATTAGAAGCAAATAATAATGAGCTGACTAATATTGACTTTGTACTCCACCAATTACCAAGGCTAACAAAGTTAGAAGTTAGACACAATAATTTAACCTCCTTAGATATTAGTAATAATTTAGAATTATCTGATTTAGATTGTGGTGGTAAGTTTAAACCATTTAAGCAACTAGTAGAGAAAATCCAATTATTTAACAATAAACTATGTTTAGTCCAGCAAAAATTACAAGACTGAACGGAATTGATTAAACTATGTCAAAAAAACCAAAGCAACAATTAATAATTCTGATTCTACTGGCGGGAGCAGGCTACTATTTTTTGATTTATCTAGCACGGAAAAGGGAAGAAGCCCGAGAAGAAATAACAAATATGTTTCAACAAAATCCCACTATCTCTGCTTCTGACTTAAACTCTAATCTCTGAACAGGAAGTAATAATTGAGAAGAGTGTTTAGATGGTTTATATTTTGGTTCCCAAATTAAGCAATTCACCAAAAAAATAACAGAGGCAATCAATAAAAAAAGAGAAGAATTAGAAAATGAAGTTAGAGAAAGGCCGATTAGAGACTTAAAAAAAGCTCGGGAAGAAACAATTGAGGATATAAAGAATGCTTGTGAGGAAGAAGAAAAAGAACTACCAAAAATTAAAAAGATTATCGAAAAATATTCTAAAAAAATTAACAAAGCAACAATAAATGAAATTTCTTCTTTACAAAAAGAGGCTAATGAACTAATCCTTGAAGCAAGACTCAAACGGCAAAGGCTACATTGAAAGAGAAAAGCATACAATTGAGTTGACCGAAAGTTGCTAGAATTTACTGATGTCTTTGATGAAGCTTGAACTAGAAAGCAACAAGAAGGAATGAAAAAAGCAACCTTTGCCGCTCCTTATACTATTTACTTTCCACCTTCGCTATGAAATGAGTTGACAGAAGAAGAAAAGGCTCATGAAAAAGCGGAAGAACTTACTTTAAGACCAGATGTTGATGAATACGAGTTTAATGAAAAAATTAACGAATGATATGACAAAGCAGAACGAGACCCAATAAGAGGAGAAAAAGACCCCAATACTCAAAAAGATAATAATGCTTTGTTTTACGGAACAGGAGGCACTGGTAAATCAATCACGGCTGAGAAATTAGCTCACAAAGCCGACCTGTATCCACTAGTCATTGTTAAAGGTTTGGCTTTAACTCCCAAACTTCCTGACCAAAAGTGTAATATTGCGGTGTTTGAGAAGTTTATTTTCACTATGGCTGACATAACTTGAACTCTGGTCGATGAATTTAATTATCAACGAGAAGAAGGAGGAGAAGTCCGTTATATCTTTTTCTTAGATGAAGCTGACCAAATTAGCGAAAATTCCTTTACTAAAGAATCTACCGGACTAACTTTTCTTAAAGAATGCATGGGTAGTGATGATTATAGAAAAAACGAAAGTTGAAATTTATGAATTATGGCTACCAATCATTTAGATAAAATAGACC